TTGGGGTGGCCATGGGGTCCTTGTGTTGGCCTTGGGGTGGCCATGGGGCCTTTGGGGTGGCCATAGAGGCCCTGTGGTGGCCCTATGGTGGCCATGGGGTGGCCGTAGGGGCCCTGGGGTGGCCATGGGGACCTTAGGGTGGCCACAGGAACCCTGTGGTGGCCCTGTGGACCTTGGGGTGGCCGTAGAAGCCCTGTGGTGGCCATGGGGTGGCCATGGGGACCTTGGGGTGGCCCTAGAAGCCCTGTGGTGGCCATGGGGACCTTGGGGTGGCCATAGGTTCCCTGTGTTGGCCATGGCGTGGCCATGGGTACCTTGGGGTGGCCATAGGGGCCCTGTGGTGGCCATGGGGACCTTAGGGTGGCCATATGATCCTTGTGGTGGCCCTATGGTGGCCATTTGGTGGCCATGGGGATATTGGGGTGGCCGTAGGGGCCCTGTGGTGGCCCTGGAGACCTTAGGGTGGCCATAGAAGCCCTGTGGTGGCCATGGGGGGTGACCATGGGGACCTTAGGGTGGCCCTAGGATCCCTGGGGTGGCCCTGTGGTGGCCATGGGGACCTTGGGGTGGCCGTAGGGACACTGTGGTGGCCTTATGGTGGCCATGGGGTGGCAGTAGAAGCCCTGTGGTGGCCACGGGGACCTTAGGATGGCCATAGGATCTCTGGGGTGGCCCTGTGATGGCCATGGGGGCCTTGGGGTGGCCATAGGATCCTTGTGGTAGCCCTATGGTGGCCATGGGGACCTTGGAGTGGCCATAGAAGCCCTGTGGTGGCCCTATGGTGGCCATGGGGTGGCCATAGGGGCCCTGGGGTGGCCATGGGGACCTTGGGGCAGCCGTAGAAGCCCTGTGGTGGCCATGGGGTGGTAGTAGAAGCCCTGTGGTGGCCCTATGGTGACCTTGGGGTGGCCATAGGAGCCCTGTGGTGGCCATGGAGTGGCCATGGGGACCTTGGGGTGGCCGTAGGGGCACTGTGGTGGCCATGGGGACCTTAGGGTGGCCATAGGATCCTTGTGGTGGCCATGGGGTGGCCACAGGGATTTTGGGGTGGCCGTAGAAGCCCTGTGGTGGCCATGGGGTGGCCATGGGGACCTTGGGGTGGCCCTAGAAGCCCTGTGGTGGCCATGGGGACCTTGGGGTGGCCATGGGTTGGTTGTGGGTGGCCATGGGGTGGCTGTGGGTGGCCACAGGGTCTCATGGGTGGCCATGGGGTCCCATGGGTGGCTGTGGGGTGGCCGTGTCCCCTGTGGGTGACCCCCGTGTCCCCCCCAGCCCTGAAGAACGAGCGGTTCCAGCTGGTTGGTGGCCATGGGGTCCCCATGGGTGGCCGTGGGGTGGCCGTGGGGTGGCTGTGGGTGGCCGTAGGGTCCCATGGGTGGCTGTGGGACCCCGTGGGGTGGTTGTGGGACCCCATGTCACCCCATGTCACCCGTGGGTGACCCCCGTGTCCCCCCCAGCCCTGAAGAACGAGTGGTTCCAGCCGGTTGGTGGCCATGAGGTCTCCATGGGTGGCCGTGGGGTGGCTGTGGGTGGCTGTAGGGTCTCATGGGTGGCTGTGGGACCCCGTGGGGTGGTTGTGGGACCCCATGTCACCCCATGTCCCCCGTGGGTGACCCCGTGTCCCCCCAGCGCTAAAGGACGAGCGGTTCCAGCTGGTGGGTGGCCATGGGGTCCCCATGGGTGGCCGTGGGGTGGCTGTAGGTGGCCGTGGGGTCCCATGGGTGGCCGTGAGACCCCGTGGGGTGGTTGTGGGGTCCCATGGGTGGGACTCACCCCCCCCGTGGGTGACCCCCGTGTCCCCCCCAGCGCTGAAGGATGAGTGGTTCCAGCTGGTTGGTGGCCATGGGGTCCCCATGGGTGGCCATGGGGTGGCTGTGGGGTCCCTATGGGTGTCTGTGGGACCCCGTGGAGTTGTTGTGGGGTCCCATGGGTGGCCGTGGGGTGGCCGTGTCCCCTGTGGGTGACCCCCGTGTCCCCCCCAGGCTGAAGAACAAGCAGTTCCAGCTGGTTGGTGGCCATGAGGTGGCCATGGGGTCCCCATGGGTGGCCATGGGGTGGCTGTGGGTGGTCATGGGTGGCCGTGGGGTCCCATGGGTGGCTGTGGGACCCCGTGGGGTGGTCGTGGGACCCCGTGTCACCCCATGTCCCCCGTGGGTGACCCCGGTGTCCCCCCCAGCCCTGAAGGACGAGCGGTTCCAGCTGGTGGGTGGCCATGAGGTCCCCATGGAGGTCCCATGGGTGGCTTTGGGGTGGCTGTGGGACCCCATGGGGTGGCCGTGGGGTGGCTGTGTCCCCCGTGGGTGACACTGGTGTCCCCCTCAGCCCTGAAGGGCGAGCAGTTCAAGCTGGTTGGTGGCCATGAGGTGGCCATGGGGTCCCCATGGGTGGCCGTGGGGACCTTAGGGTGGCTGTGGGTGGCCATGGGGTCCCATGGGGTGGCCGTGGGGTGGCTGTGGGTGGCTGTGTTGTCCCTATGGGTGGCCATGTGGTCCCATGGGTGGTTGTGGGACCCCGTGGGGTGGCCGTGTCCCCCGTGGGTGACCCCCGTGTCCCCCCCAGGCTGAAGAACAAGCAGTTCCAGCTGGTTGGTGGCCATGAGGTGGCCATGGGGTCCCCATGGGTGGCCGTGGGGTGGCTGTGGGTGGCCATAGGGTCCCATGGGTGGCTGTGGGACCCCGTGTCACCCCATGTCCCCCGTGGGTGACCCCAGTGTCCCCCCCAGCCCTGAAGGACAAGTGGTTCCAGCTGGTTGGTGGCCATGGGGTCCTCATGGGTGGCTGTGAGACCCCATGGGGTGGCCGTGGGGTGGCTGTAAGTGGTTGTGGGACCCCATGGGACCCCGTGGGGTGGCCGTGTCCCCCGTGGGTGACCCACTGTCCCCCCCAGCCCTGAAGGACGAGCGGTTCCAGCTGGTTGGTGGCCATGAGGTGGCCATGGGGTGGCCCTAGGATCCCTGTGGTGGCCCTATGGTGGCCATGGGGTGGCCGTAGGGGCCCTGGGGTGGCCATGGGGACCTTAGGGTGGCCACAGGAACCCTGTGGTGGCCCTGTGGACCTTGGGGTGGCCGTAGAAGCCCTGTGGTGGCCATGGGGTGGCAGTAGAAGCCCTGGGGTGGCCCTGTGATGGCCATGGGGACCTTGGGGTGGCCATAGGATCCCTGTGGTGGCCATGGGGACCTTGGGGTGGCCATAGGATCCCTGTGGTGGCCATGGGGACCTTGGGGTGGCCATAGGATCCTTGGGGTGGCCCTATGGTGGCCATTGGGACCTTGGGGTGGCCGTAGAAACCCTATGGTGGCCCTATGGTGGCAATGGGGTGGCAGTAGAAGCCCTGTGGTGGCCACGGGGACCTTGGGGTGGCTGTGGGACCCCGTGTCACCCCGTGTCCCCCGTGTGACCCCGTGTCCCCCGTGTGTGACCCCGTGTCCCCCGTGTGTGACCCTGTCCCCCGTGTGTGACCCCGTGTCCCCCGTGTGTGACCGTGTCCCCCCAGCGCTGAAGGACGAGCGGTTCCAGCTGGTGGAGTTCAGCCGTCGGCGGCTGCGGCTGCGTCTGGCCCGGGCCCGGCTGGAGGACGAGGGCGGCTACTTCTGCCAGCTCTACGCCGACGACACCCACCACCAGATCGCCACCCTCACCGTGCTGGGTAGGGACACGGGGACACTGGGACATGGGGACACCTCGGGGGGACACGGGGGGACACTGGGGACACCTTGGGGGGCAGGGGGACACGCGGGGACACGAGGATGTGGGGCACGTGGTGGCAGCTCCCACCACCACCAGCCTCAAGACACCCCAAACCTGATCATCCTCATTCTTGGGGACAACACAGGTGACACGGGGACACTTGGGGACACTTGGGGGACACATGGGGACACACAGAGACATGAGGATGTGGAGAACATGGTGGCAGTTTCTGTCCCCACCAGCCTCAAGACACCCCAAACCAGATGGCCACCATTCTTGGGGACATTTGGGGACACTTGGGGACACATTAGGGACATTTGGGGACACTTGGAGACACCACAGGTGACACAGGGACACTTGGGGACACTTGGGGACACCTCGGGGGGCGGGGGGACGCTCGGGGACACGAGGATGTGGGGCACGTGGTGGCAGCTCCCCCCCCCACCAGCCTCAAGACACCCCAAACCCGATCATCCTCGTTCCTGGGGACATTTGATGACACTTGGGGACATGTGGGGACACCTCAGGTGACACAGGGACATTTGGGGACACTTGGGGACACTTCAGATGACACAGGGACATTTGGGGACACTCGGAGACACAAGGATGTGGGGCACGTGGTGGCAGCTCCCACCACCACCGGCCTCAAGACACCCCAGACCAGATGATCCTCGTTCTTGGGGACACTTGGGGACACCACAGGTGACACAGAGACATTTGGGGACACTTGGGGACACATGAGGGACATTAGGGGACACGTGGGGACCTGGGGGAGATGTGGGGACGTGTCCCCATGTCCCTCCCTCTGTGTCCCTTGTCCCCCCCTGTCCCTTTCTCTCTGTCCCACCCCCTCCCTGTCCCCAAATCCCCTGTCCCCCTGTCCCTGTCCCTGTGTCCCCCTGTTCCTCTGTCCCCATCCTTGTCCCCATGTCCCCGTGGTGGGAGCCAGCAGCTGAGTGCCTGGATGCCTGCGGGGCAGCGGGCAGCGCGGGGGGAGCGTGCGCGTGTGCGGGGACACGTGTGCGGGCGGCGAGGAC